ACTATGCCAAAGCCTTCGACTGTGTGGATCACAATAAACTGTGGAAAATTCTGAAAGAGATGGGAATACCAGACCACCTGACCTGCCTTTTAAGAAATCTGTATGCAGGTCAGGAAGCAACAGTCAGAACTGGACATGGAACAACAGTCTGGTTCCATATAGGAAAAGGAGTACGTCAAGGCTGCATATTGTCAGCCTGCTTATTTAACTTATATGCAGAGTACATCATGAGAAACGCTGGGCTGGAGGAAGCACAAGCTGGAATTAAGATTACCTGGAGAAATATCAATAACCTCAGATATGCAGATGACACCACCCTTATGGCAGAAAGTGAAGAACTGAAGAGCCTCTTGACGAAAGTGAAAGAGGAGAGTGAAAAAAGTTGGCTTAAAGCTCAACATTCAGAAAACTAAGCTCATGGCATCTGGTCCCATCACTTCATGGCAAATAGATGGGGAAACAGTGTCAGACTTTAGTTTTGGGGGCTCCAAAATCACTGCAGATGGTGACTGCAGCCATGAAATTAAAAGATGCTTGCTCCTTGGAAGAAAAGTTATGACCAACCTAGACAGCATATTAAAAAGCAGAGACATTACTTTGCCAACAAAGGTCCATATAGTTAAGGCTATGGTTTTTCCAATAGTCATGTACAGATGTGAGAATTGGACTATAAAGAAAGCTGAGTGCCAAAGAATTGATGCTTTTGACTGTGGTGTTGGAGAAGACTCTTGAGAGTCTCTTGGACTGCAAGGAGATCCAACCAGTTCATCCTAAAGGAAATCAATGCTGAATGTTCACTGGAAGGACTGATGCTGAAGCTGAAACTCTAATACTTTGGCCACCTGATGCAAAGAGGTGACTCATTTGAAAAGACCCTGATGCTGGGAAAGACTGAAGGAGGGAGGAGAAGGGGATGACAGAGGATGAGATGGTTGGATGGCGTCACTGACTCAATGGAAATGAATTTGAGTAAACTCCGGGAGCTGGTGATGGACAGGGAGGCCTGGCGTGCTGCAGTCCATGGGGTCGCAAAGAGTCGGACATGACTGAGCGACTGAACTGAACTCGCTATTAAAATATTGGTAGATTTAATCATGTTAACACTTGATGTAAGTTATTTGCTAGCAATAATTCAGAACCAGGTTGGAGGGCGGGAAAAAGGTGACTGGAAGATAACTGCCCCAGTTTTCATATCCTCACGGTAGTAGTAAGTTCTTACTTACTACAGGGTTTGGAATGCACACTCATTAAATACTGTGTGTCAAGACAATAATCTCAATTATTCCTTGACAGATAAAAATCCTGTCTTACTTGCCTTTCTGTTCCCATACCATGAAAGACATAGGAGAATGACAAATGTCCAAATGATTATTTGAACAAAATAAAGACAGTAGACTAAGACAGATGTGAAAAAGTAAAAGTGTTAGCACTCAGTTGTGTCTTACTCTTTGTGACCCCACAGACTGTAGTACTCCAGGCTCCTCACCGTGGAATTCTCCAGTCAAGAATACTGGAGAGGGTAGCCATTCCCTTCTTTAGGGGATCTTTTTGACCCAGGCATCAAACCCAGGTCTCCTGCATTGCAGACAGATTCTTTACTGTCTGAGACACAGGGGAAGCCCAAGAGAGATGTGGATGATTGCACATGGCCAAAATCTCTTCCCAAGCATGTATACTCACTTCTGAGCAATATGATTGTGCCACTCTTACTATCAAGAAGTGAATCTGGGTTTGGCCTCATGACTTCCTTTGGCCAGTGGGACATTAGCAAACACAACATAAGCAGAGGCTCACTCTTTCTGCTCTATAAATCCTGCAACTACCACCATGTGTACAAGCCCAAGTTAACCTGCAAGAAGATGAGAAAAACGTGATCATCACCCCAACTGACACTGCATCAAACCACCAGACATATAAGCAAGGTCTCCTAAGAACAACTGATCTGAAAACCGCAAGACATGAATGAAGCTATCCAGTCACCAACTGAGCTGACAAAAGACTGTCCAGAGAGGCCAACAAATTGTGAGAAATACCTCTAAGCCACTTAGTTTTGAGTTTTTTAAATTTGATCTATAGCCAAATATCTGATATAGATAGGTTACAAGCTTTCCACAAAAATCCATTTTTATTCTCAAACAGAATTTTATCATACAGTTTGACTGATATTATATCACTAACCTCAGAGTCACAACATCAGAAAAATGACATAACCTATAAGACAATACATAATTCCACCATGTCTTCAAATTTTTCAGGCCATCTGCAGGATACAGAGGAAGATGAAACACAGAATTATACAAGTAAAAAGAATTCCAAAACCAATGACCAAAGAACAGGACGTCTTGTGCCTTGGTCCTTTTTGTTAGTGCCGTGTGTGTGTGTGTGTGTGTGTGTGTGTGTGTGTGTGTGTGTGTACACAGATATACACTGATACATACACCAAAAAATCTTTAACATGATTCAAGGATAAAAGCTAAAAAGATATAAAATGAATTTTTGTGAAAACTACAGAGTAATATTACAAAGATAAACCTTATCACTATAAAGATCATAGAAATAGCTACATCTTACTTATATTGTCATCCTTTAGTGTCTACAGATATAGGGCAAATGATTTTCGCTGCTCTGATTTTAATTAAACAAATATTCAGACAACTAGTCTAAAGAAAACAACTTCCTCAGTCTTCTAAGCTCTTAAAAAAACAAAGAATCTGGTTTGGAGAAACATCCAATGAGCAGCTCAGGGAAGCTTTTCGTGAGGTATTCCTTCTCACACGATGGGAATGGCTGGATCTGGAGGACCATGGGGGTAAAGGCACATGAATGTTGCACAGGCAATTTCCTGCCACCACATCTAAAGCTAAAGAGGTAAAAGCAGTCCCTGTAGCTGCCAAATCACACAGATACAGGGCCAGAGCCACAACTGGTAACAAAGGTTGAAAATGTATGTGTTATCCAAGAATTCTTTAACAGGTAATGCCAATAGGGTAGGTGGCTCTACAAGGACTGGAGACTCACTACCTAGTCACACACCTGCCTGATTAACAAGTCCCAGCAAAATATTGTATTTAACAACAGAAGTATGGTTTTCATGTTGTGCATATTACACGTTAGGATGAAAATGCTTATCAGTTAATAAACATCAATTAATAAAAAATTAATACTTCCTAACCTTAAAAGCTATCTGAAAAGCAAATGTGTATTGTGACATTTAAAAGATGACTGAAATAATTTGCAGTGTATGGTAAGAGAAAGCTTATGATACAGTGGAAACAAATTACATTGGAAGCTAAGGGGTCTACCATAAAACCTAACACTTAGCAGACATAAAATAAATGAAAAACAAATCAATGATCTAATACCAAAGGTTTCTGGGCAATTATTTCTTCTCTCTCCTCACTGCTAAAATTAAATGGTGATGGAGATTAAATGGGTTATTACATATAAAGTACTTAAAGCAGTTCCTGGTAGTCAATAGGTAGTACTCAATAAATAGTAGACACTATTACTAGATGCCAGTCTAACTACTAACCATTCTGAAATTAATAAAATGACAGAGCAACTGACAAATGCTCTACAGCTCCCTTTCAGCTCTAAAAAATATTTAAATTCTAATTCTCCAACAGTAATCCCTCCCCCCACACACACATATTAAAATGCTAAATACAAGCACATTATCCAGACTCCAGTATATTATAGAATACACACCAAACATACTGTGGGGTGGGGAGGTTGGTATGTGTGGGTGTGACTGAATGTCCAGACTATCATTTAAAGTGGAAACTATAACTTGAACAGATATTAAACAAACACAAAAAAAGATATATACTCAAAATAAGGAAAGGGGTCTTGGGTGGAGATTAAGAAGATTGTGTTCTGCTTCTGGCACTGCTGCCAACCTTAAAACCTTAGATGACTCCTACCTGTGTTTAAGTTGAGTAAGATTGGAACAGATGATCACTAAGATCTCTCTGAAACTTTCTTCACTTTTTTTCCTCTTTTCAAACCAGAGTATCAATTATTACTTAGAATACTGGAAACTTTAGCGCAGATAAACATGAAAATTGCTAATCTTCAGCCTAAGCAGTCTCTGATCTGAGAATGAATAATGATGCACCAGCCTTTAGATGGGGCCTACATTCATTTCTAATTAAAGCCAGTGGACTGGATTCTGCCTCTGTGTTCTAAAATTAGGTATATTCAGGAATTCTCTGGCGGTCCAATGGTTAGCATTCAAGTCTTTCACTGTTCAATCCTAGTCAGGGAACTAAGATCCCACAAGTTTCATGAAGCAGCCAAAATTAATTCTTTTTTTTTCTTCATTTATTTTTATTAGTTGGAGGCTAATTACTTCACAACATTTCAGTGGGTTTTGTCATACACTGACATGAATCAGCCATGGAGTTACATGTATTCCCCATCCCGACAAAATTAATTAATTAATTAATTTAAAATAATGTATATTCTACAATGAGAAGGGGAGGAAATAGAAATTAGCTCAATATATGCAGATATGCTAATATTCTCACATAATCACATATTTAACTAATGATTCCTTTGTACCACAATATGTTGAATACCCAACATTTATTCAGCACCTTCCATATGACGAATACAATGCTAAGCACCTTTAAAGCACTACTGCATAAAGCAAGAAGACAATTTTAAGTGATGTTCAGGCAGGAGAACTATTGTATGGACTGGAATAATAAATAGGTAAATTCATTTCACTCCCAAAATAAATCCAAGGAAAAAAGGACAACAGAATCTTAATTATTTCACAAACTATGTTTAAGAAAAGACAGACAAATAGAAGCTGAAATTTAAACTCTAGTGTTCACATCAAGAGAGTAATTTATTCTTAATATCCCCAAGAGGTTTCATTATATCCTTACCTTTTTTATTGCAAACCTGTAAGAAAATGAGGATCAAAGAACATAATTGTCTAAAACATATAATTAAAAGTTAAAAAAAAAAAAAACAGAACTAAAACCTCTTACCTGAGCATGAAAATTGGACATAGTCGTTGTCTCTATATCCTTCTTTCCCAATATCTCCATTTTCACTGGTGAATTGGGAAAATTAAATGAAAAGTAGTCTAAAAAATCAGGTAAATAAGTAGCTGCCCCATGAACAATACCCATTACATAGAAAGCTGCAGAGTTCTCATTTTCACTGAACACCAGATCCACAAACTCTTCTGCAAACCTCTCCATCTCCACAGGAGACAGATGGGAGAGTTCATTGCTGTAGGCATGGATAACTGATGCACCTCCATTAGGCTGGTGCTCAATATGAATGAGCTGTTTGAACCGCAAAGTGTCCAGCCTTCTGAGGTTGTTCTGAACCCGTGGCTCCTTTAATGAGACAAATGGAAACTCACTGTTCTCTGGAATTTTGGAATCATAATTCTTGGTATCCAAACTCTTTCCACTGTAATCCTTTATGTTTTCATTTAGGATACCTTTGGCTTCTTGATCTTCAACATCAGATAGCAATCCTGAGCAGATAGTTTGAATAGATTTGCTATACATTTTTGGACGCTTCCGTTTTTCATTCTCTTTATGTTTCTTTTTCTTTTTCTTCTTTACCTTCTTAATTTGTAAGTCTTCTACACTTGTTTTTGGTTTCTCCTTCCCACCTGTTGGGAAAAATTTTTTTTTGAAACTATGTATTTTACTTTCTTTAAATATCATGCTTCAGGAACTGTTCTATAAAAATAAGCAAAGTTTACACAAAATGAAGTTTATATTTGGGACTTGTTTTACACAATATTGATAACCATAATTTAGTCAGGCTCTTTCCTTCTCTCCACACACATAGGCACACACACACACAGAGGAAGGCTTAAGACAGTTATGCTTACAGTGAATGGTACCATTCTGACATTAGATGCTCAATCAGTATTTAATGAAGTAATGAAATTAATGTTTTAGAAATCATAGTCTTCAAATTTTAAATACAGAAAATCAGAAATGGAAAGCTGAACAAAAGCCAATGTGAACAATGAATGCCCTGCAGATATTTTCCATTGATATGTATCTTTTTTACTTTTAAGTTCTTAAAAATTACATACAGGTGTCAAGATTTACAAATCAGCAAGGGAGAAAAACACTTGCATAGAATACAAGAAACAAACACAGAAATTCCTTAGCTCTTTACCATACTTCCTTCTCTGTAAACTACTTTTTAATCTAAAACAAGCTATTCTAGATCTACTAGAGTCTACAAAATTCCCACTGAAAACTCAGCAAGGTACCATAAAGAAATGACAAAATCAGAATAATTTCTCATGTCCTAAGTACAAACGATATCCATTTACTGGTAAAGAGAGAAATAAAAGAAAAAGAAATGGGTCAATAATAAGTTTAAATATTAATGAACCTCTGTAACCAAAGGTAAGTAGACACTAGGCTCAGAAATTTAGAAATCCAAAGAATAAAAAATTAATCTTCAGTGTCTATATAGCTATAGAATTTAAGTGTACATATTAAATACAACATTATCACAGTATATTTATTTCTAGACAATAAGAAACACAGAGAGGAACAAACATCCTAACAAGAAAATATTGTGGTTCCTAGGACAAAATAAAAGTTATTCAGATGACAATTGAGAAAAAAAAAAAGCATTCACTGTTTCCATCTTTTATTTCACTTTTACAGATAACCAGTCATGAATTAAACCTTCGCAACCTGCTTCTTTATCTAAATTTTTCCATCTTCACATATCTCTGCTATTCTTTTCTGTCTCTGGTGATTGAGATGTCCTGCCTACTTTCCAAAAACAAGTCCCTCCCACCAACTCCAAAACCGTTGCTTAAAGTTCTCTCCTTTTCTTTTGACCATCAAACTTCTCATAAAGAATCACTATACCCACCAGTGTCTTATCTTTATTACATGACTATTTCTATCCTTTAAATTCTGTTTCCAGTCTACTCAAATTTACTTTCCCAGATTGTTCAAATATCAAATCCAATGATATTCTCAAGTCATTTTTCCTGATCTCTCCAAGGTTCTATGTAATCACCCACCTCATCCTTAAAGATTATTTTTAACTTCCATGATACTACTACTGCCTTAGCATCTAATCTAAAAGCCTCATGACTAACTCTCATCCTTAATACTAGAGCCATAACACTAATTCTATAAGTTTTATATACTGTTTTGATCATGATCATACTTTCATTCAACTGTTTTCAAGGGTTCTCAGTGATTACCAAATAAAATACAATCTCTTCAGTCTAGAATCCAAACTCAGTGTCCTCAAGTACCACGATGCTCTGGTCAATTACACTAAACAATTTCTTATGAAACATACCTAATCCTACTTTATCTTTCTACTACTGGTAAAGTTATTTCCTTTGACCAAAACATCTTTGCCTTGTCCCAGTACTCACTACTGGACTTTCTTACCCATCCTATAAAGACAACTCTTATGTTATTTTCATCATTTTTCTTCGGAACTGAAACATTTTTGCTCTAAATTCATAAACTTATTATATATTCTATATATATGAATACATATGATATAGTCAAAGTTATTATTTTTTTCATTCACAAGATGCCTGTGTAACATATATCCTTCAGGATAATGTCTGAGTGAAACAAATACTTTAATGAATTCATAGTGAAACACTTTTTTCCACCAATCACTGAATCCCTCCTGGCTTTTCTGGCATCTAGTACATTGTTATATGTGAACATTTAATGAATCCATGAATACAAAGATTTCTCTCACCAACAGACTACCTGACGTTTATAGGGTTATCCCGTTTCCAGTTCAGTCAGTTTTTCACCATAACCTAACCTTGAAACAAAAAGCATAAAAATTCTCTCAAGTTCACAGCAATTCTTAAAAATGGAAAGTTTAATGTTAATAATTAACCATCTAGTCTAAAAATTCATAAGTATGAAATGAAGGCCAAATTGGTATCACTGTGAAAAGCAAAACTAAAAATCTGCCAACATTATTGATTACACAAGTTTGCAAATTCATAAAATGCAAAGTGTTAATTTTCTCGTGTCTACATGTAAGTAAATTAAAAATATATTAACAAATTCATACTTGCTACCCAGGTATAAATGATCAAAACATCATATTCAGTTAATATCTTAGGAACAAAATTAGTAATGAAAAGTTAAAATAGGGAGTTAATCAAAATGAAAGATAAAAAGAGGTTTATATACATAAGTGAAATCCAAATGAGTCGAGGAAAAAAGACAGTAGTGAATTAAAAAAGAGAAATAAAATCAATAATAAAAAAAAACAGAACTTAAAACTGTTTAACTGTTCTAGGTATAGTTAATAACTAAACTAGAAATACATGTAAAATTGCACAAATTAAACAGCTTGCCAATACAAGCAGAATTTCATTTGAATGAAAATATAAACTTGATACCCAATTAATTTACATCTAACACATTTTTTTAAAGTTAAAATAGAAAACATTCAGAATACATGTTACATTAAGATAAAACAGATACAATAGTTTATTTCTTAGTTATAAAGATAGATGAAAACAGTTGTTATATAATAGAAACTGAGAAACGCAGTTGACTAGTAGCAAATTAGTCAAAAGATTATTATATTGAAAATCAAGTAATTAAACTTACATGACAAATTATAATTAAATACTAAAGTGAGCACCATGAACATAAGAGAGTTAACATAAAATGCCTGAGAGTGCTATCCTTAGAGAGGCCTGCTTGCAGGGCTGGCCCTTGGTTGGCACCTGAGAACTTGTATTTTGGGAAGGTTACTACTATTCTCTGCTAAAAGTGGTTCATTGTGCCTAAACTGTTTTTACAAATAATATGGTTTACATTGAACACCTGTTTTCCTTCTGGGAGCCTTGGATTTTGCTACAACTAGACAGAGGGTGCCTACGTGACCGGTTCCCAATAGAAACCCCAACTACTGAGTTTCTACTGAGCTTCCCTGGTAGACAACATTTCATATATGTTGTCACAATTCACTGCTGGAAGAACTAAGTGCATCTTGTGTGACTCCACTAAGAGAGGACTCTTGGAAGCTTGCACCTAGCTTCCTCCAGAAATTGCCACAGGTGCCTTTTGTCCTTACTGACTGTACTCTGTATCCTCTACCATAAGTCACAGCCATGAGTACAAACTTAATGCCCAGTCCTGTGAGTCCTCCTAGCAAATCATCAAACCTGGGGGTAGTCTTTGGGACCCCTCCCCTCCAATGGATACAGATAAAAATGTATCTGTAAATCAAATGCTAGCCTTTACTAGGTAGATTTTTAAGTTTTATATAATGCATTTCCTGTCTTGGAATGATGCATGAAATGCAATAGATATATATGTAGGAAATTTTTAAATACTTAAGCCAGTAAGACTATTTTGAATATTAATGTTCTTCTCTTATACTAAATGGTATTTAAAGTATATATTTACTCTAAATTCATAACTCTTCAAACAGAGCCCAATACATCAGAACTGTAGTGTTTTATTAGAGAATCCTGGTAAATACCCATAACAGAAAGAAATGCTAAGTAATTTGGACCCTCAAAAAGTATAGAAGTATAGTTGATGGGAGACTCTCCCCTTGAAGATCCATACACATATGAACAGTAGATCTCAAACACACATACCCCACCCCCTCCCCACATGCACAGATAGTCAAAGAGAGAATCAAACACAAAGATAAGTGGAGATACACACACAGCCAGAAGAGACACTCTGATAGAGACAGGAAAAAAAATCACAAACACAGATAAAAAAGAAAATCCAGTATGTGTTACTAATGGCAAGTTATTTTTTAAAAATCTTTAAAAATTACAAAATCACTAGAATTAATTCCCATTCCTAACCTTAGTATATTTTTAGTGTTAATAAAGGTTGCCAGAAACACTGCATCTGATTTCATATTTAATATGGAAAGTAATATACATAATTTCATTATCACACACAGAAACAAAGTAGTAATTAGCTTAGCTATTTTCGGCCTGTGGTCTCTGGGAATGACTTTCCTTTTACGCACAGCAATATTTTCACTCTTCCTTTCAAGAATTACCTACCCCTGACCTTTAGTACACTACCAATAACCTTGAACATTGGCTTCTTTTAATGCCCTTTTCACCTGCTCACCATCAAGCCCCTTGATATGCTATAATGACAAAATTTACTCTCAAAACTATTATTACTGGTAATATCCATGTTCTTACACCTTTATCAGTAAAGAACATAAAATGACTGGAACATAAAGTATATTCAGAAAAAGTAACTGGTAGACATTAGAAATAAAAAATGAGCTAAATAAGCTTATGTTTCAAATTTATTTGTTCCTTTAAACTGTTTCTAATAAAGCAAACTCCTATTTTATCAGTGAAAAAAATTTATAAGATTTCTCCATTAATAACACCTTTCTGCTATGTATGTAATCGTATCATATATACATCTCTAGTCATACTCGATGCAGCTTTAATGAAAATCTGGAGGAAATAAGATTGGTGTGGAGAAAGAGTTAGCATCTATTCAGATATTCAAGGGTCATCACCACTCCATGCCTGTGTCTGCCCTGCAATGTTGGCATCATCAGAAAGAGAAACTTATAAAGAGAAGAAAAGTAAAAAACCATAAAATGGGGTACAAGGCAGTAGAGAATAGCATACTTAACTCCCCCAACCTAACTGATTTTCTTGTTGCTTCAGGACACCAATAACAAAGGATGCCTTTCCCTGATCCTAAGGCTCACTCGGTAAATATCTGGCCACATAAGCAGGACAAACTGTTTGTGCTGGATAATAACAACAGCTAGTACTTACTCACTGCTTACCATGGGACAGGCACAATCTCACAAGTTAATCATGTTTTTATTCATTTAATTATCTACATACTACCTGTGGCTCGGCTGGTAAAGAATCCGCCTGCAGTGTGGGAGACCTGGGTTCGATCCCTGGGTTGGAAAGATCCCCTGGAGAAGGGAACGGCTACCCACTCCAGTATTCTGGCCTGGAGAATCCCATGGACTATATAGACCATGGGGTAGCAGAGTCAGACACAACTGAGTGACTTTCAATTTCAGTTTTTTTTTACCCTCCAAGGAGAGATAAGTTTTCTCATTGTTTTTAATCACAAGAGTTCATCTTTTGTACATGTTAACAAGAAAGATTAATATCTATTTATTGAATATCTGTGGACTAGACACTGTACTTGGTACTTCCCCTATACTTAACATCATTTAATCTCCACAACCCTGAAAGGCAGTAATTATTATTTACCTCCATTTCACAGTAAGTATATTTTCCTATGTCATCCCAGAGATCAATTTATTTCCAAATCTCTTTTATTCCCCTCTATCATCACTAGGGTTCAGTTTAGCTTAATTATCTCTTAAGCTTTTCATTTATTTCAAAATCAAGGTTACCACTGTATATTACTAGAAAAATCTCCACTTTTTAGGTTATTTAAAATTCTGTTTGCATATGTAATTTCGAGGTTCACATACTTTACATTAATGGTATGCAAGGAATTTAACATTCAACCAAGAGATAGGAAATTACAACATTGGACACTCAAATGAATAATAAAATGACTGTGTGACTAAAGCAATTTAAAAAATGACCACACCAATATGGTAAAGAAAAAAAACATTTCAAGTGTTAATCATAAGCTGCTGTATAGCCCTAGCGTGATTATATTCAACTTCTGCCTCAGAGCCTTACAATCTGTTTGGACAACACATATCAAACACACTGGCAAAGAAACAAAACAAAAGGACCATGAGCGTTAACCAAGTAGTCACCAACTTTAGCTGTGATGTTTCTTCAGGATCAAAAGAATTTTTAGAAAATAAAGTTCTGACAAGTAGGAAATAAAAGCTTAGCCAAAGTACACCAAAGAACATGTGGAAACAGGACAAAGAGTTAAATGAAATCATAGAATCTAAAAGTCTATGTACCTTAAATTATGTAATTAACCAGTTATTTCATTGCACCTACAGTGCTATGGACTTCTTTCCATTATGTAGACAGAAATGCTTATTATGCACATGCAAATTCAATATGAAATTAATAGAAGTCAACATGTTATGATCAACAAATTGCTGACTTGATGAGGCAGTTAATGAATTTGCTAGCTATCAAGCAAGCAAATGCCACTGATTCTTCTTACCTTCCTATCTGAGTGAATTTAAAACTATCTTTCTATCACAAATTCTCTCTCGAAGAGTTCATATTTATTGATAGGATCTATATTATTACCTAACCATCTACCCCCACATAATAAATAACTAAAACAGTTATAATGAGGAAAAAATAGGAAACAAAAAGAGGATATTCTTAAGCATGTGAGAAACATACAATAAAACAGAACATCTTGTTATTTAGCTCAGAGTAAAATGCTCCCTCTAAACTATACATAGTGATTATCATCAAATATTGGTAAGATCACCGCCTCTGCCATACTTCTCTATCATGGTAAATATTGCTTTAGTCTTTTCTTTTAGATTATCCAAATATCGATAAACTAGTAATGTAAACACAGAATTATATAACCTATTTTTAAATAATTCAAGGAACCTAATAATTACCTTTACTACTTCCAATAACTCACTAAACAAATATGGTAAAGACATATTACTATACAGATTAGAAAAGTCCACTATTAACTTTTAATATCTTGACCACAAATGTTTATTCTCAGTGAAATTCAGCACCAAGTAACATTTCTTATTTTAATCACTAAGCCAATAAATATACTGAACAATGTAACATCGTACAACTGAAATCACTTAATATAAACTTACTTTTCAGCAAAATCTTTACTTCTCCATTTTCTTTCTTGATCTCATTCATTACTTTATGCTTCTTTTTTTCTCTCTCCTTTTCTTTATCTCTCTCTTTAATTTTGTCTTTGATTTTATCTAAAATCAAATAGTACAAAAAATAAATACTTCAAAACATCTTACAACTTTATTTTTTTCATGAACTACAATGCAATTTCTCAAATTACAATACACCAAGGAAATCAGAAAGAACAACAATAACACCTTTTTTTCTTTCTCCAAGTTTTTAGGAAGTATTTTTAAATTTTCTTTCATATATTAAACACTGGAATATATACATCATAAGCTGTCAAAATGTATCATTACGAATTTTATTCTACAGATTATTCTTCACCTACTTCATTTCCAACACAACATCAGCCTAGCTTCAAATCACTTAAAATAACTGGCTAACTTTAATCAGGAGGGTAAACTACAGTGTAAAAAGGGCTAGTTTTGAAGTTGGGCATATTGGTTAACACAACACTGGAAAAAATACTCATTCTCAATGGCCTAATGTTTAAAATGATGATTGATAAATTTTCATAGGTTATACCAGGGCTAAATGAAGGAAGATATAAAAAGACTACCCAGAGTCTGCTATATATACGTAGATATATATATATATACACACACATACATATAAGACTAGATGTTAACTTTCCTTACCCTTGTATCTTTTAAAAAAGACATGATTGACTTGGCTAACTAGTGATACTAAGATATTAAAATAAAGCATATAGGAACTCAAAGAATCATTGCTCCACATTCTAAAATTCAAACTTTGTGTCTGCAAAATTATTTGATGTCCTTTTATAATTCTTGTTTATTCAATCAAGCTCCTATGCACTCAGCAAAAACAATGTAGAGAACTTGAAAATAGTGATGAAGTCCTCGTCCTCAAAAAGCTCACTACAATTACAAAGTTACGACACAAAACTTCACACAAAACTGCAAAACATCCTGTAGCAGCCAAGATTATACACCACATATGCCAATGGCATAATTTCTTCAAATCCCTTCATACTTCTCTTTCTATAAATACTACCCTAAATTCAGGTCTTAGTCATCTAATGTTTATTTAGATTGTCTAGATCAGTTTTGTTAAATAGACATATAAGGGTTACCACATAAGTAAATTCACATTTTTAGCAGTCACATTAGAAATAAAAGGAAGCTAGTGAAATTAATTTTAATAACATATTTTTCAACAGGGAACCAATACTAAAAAACTGTTATTGAGATATTTCACATTCTTTTACTCATAATAAGATTACAAAATTCAGTCTACAGTTTACATTCACGGCACATCTCAGTACAAAGTAGCTCAACTTTAACTGTTCAATAGCCATGTGAGACTAAGGGCTGCCATACTGAACCACTCACTGGACTACTAAAACAGGTAATTCCTAAAAAACATTAAATCTATGCACTTAACAAATATTTTAAAACGTATTAATTTTAAAAATACAGATCTGAGGACTTCCCTGGTGGCTCACTGGTAAAGAATCCACTTGTCAATCCAGGAGATAACAAGTTTGATCCCTCATCTGGGAAGATCCCACACGCCACGGAGCAACTAAGTCCAACTGCCACAGCCATGGAGCCTCTACTCTAGAGTCTGGGAGAGCAGCCCCTGAAGCCTGTGCACCCTGGGGCCCCTGCTCCGCAACGAGAAGCCACGGCAATTAGAAGCCTGTGTGCTGCAACTACAGAAAGCCTGCACACAGCATCAAAGATCCAACATGGCCAAAAATAAATAAATAAAACCATTTTTTAAAAAGAACCAATGTCTTTTCCAATGAGTCAGCTCTTTGCATCTGGTGGCCAAAGTATTGGAGCTTCACCTTCTGCATCTGGTGGCCGAAGTACTGGAGCTTCACGTTCAGCATCAGTCCGTCCAGTGAATATTCTGGGTTGATTGCCTTTAAGATGGATTGGTCTGATCTCCTCGCAGTCTTTGATGAGTCTTTTCCAGCGTCACAGTTGGCAGGTATCAATTCTTCAGCACTCAGCCTTCTTTATGGACCAACTCTCACATCCATTAAACGACTACTGGGAAGATCATAGCTTTGACTATATGGACATTTGTGGGCAAAGTGATGTCTTTACTTTTTAATACACTAAGTCTGCCATAGTTTTTTTTTTCTAAAGAGCAAGTGTCTTTTAATTTCATGACTGCAGTCACCGTCAGCTTTATTGTGGAGCCCAAGAAAATAAAGTCTGACACTGTTTCCATTATTTCCCCATTTATTTGCAATGAAGTGACAGGACCAGATGCCGTGATCTTCGTTTTCTGAATGCTGAGTTTTAAGTCAAGTTTTTCACTCTCCTCTTTCACCTTCATCAAGAGGCTCCTTAGTTCCTCTTTGCTTTCTGCCATTAGGGTGGTTTCATCTGTGTATCTGAGCTTGTTGACATTTCTCCCTGAAATCTTCATTCCAGCTTGTGATTTACCCAGCCCGGTATTTCAGTTGATATACTCTGCACATAAGTTAAATAAGCAGAGTGACAATGTACAGCCTTGACGTACTCCTTTCCCAATTTTGAACCAGTCCATTGTTACATGTCTGGTCCTAACTGTTGCTTCTTGACTTGCACACAGTTTTCTCAGAAGGCAGGCAGTTGGTGTGGTATTCCCATCTCTTGAAGAATTTTCCAGTTTGTTGTGATCTACAGTCAAAGGTTTTAGCATATAGTCAATGAAAACAGATATTTTTTCTGGAATTCCCTTGCTTTTTCTATGATCAAATGGTTGTTGGCAATTTGATCTCTGGTTCCTCTGCCTTGTCTAAATCCAGCTTGAAGGATCTTGAGTATTACCTTACTAGCATATGAAATGAGTGCAATTATGCGGTAGTTTGAGCATTCTTTGTCATTGCCCTTCCTTAGGTTTGGAATGAAAACTGACCTTTCCCAGTTATGATATATGTTCATATACAACTTATTCTAAAATTCTAGAGTTGATTAAATTGTTCTCATACTTCAGATTACCTCACTATTCTTACTTTTGATGTTTTAAAATCCTTGAAATCATATAATAGACTGTCTTTCAGCCATAAAATGTCAGCACAAATAGCTGGAGCCTAGACACATATATAAGTTAATACTGCGTAAGTAATCACACTTTTTAAAAATGAACTAGTTACATATCATTTAAAATCACAACTGAAGAAAACAGTTATCTGAAATGTCTCCACATTTCTTTTTCCAATTATCCCTAAATATTTATTAACCTAAATGTATTATTTCAATAACTATTAAACTTTTAAGTTTATTAAAGTATAATATACATACAGAAAAAAAAGCATTAAGTACCATAAACCACTCAATTTTCACAAAAATAAACAGCACCCAGTACCCCTCTGTGTTCCCTTCAGTCTTTATGCAGTGCTAAGGGTAACCATGATCCTGACTTCTAACCCCAAAGATTAAAACAACTATAGAATTTTAATGGCAAATAAAGAATATGAGCTATAAATCTACAACAGAATATATTTTTGCAGAATAAAATTAAACTAGTTTCTCAGGAAATAAAACTGTAATATAGCATGATCCAATTTTTATAGTCTTTATTTATGAAAATATTTACTTACAGATTTTCTTTTTTTTTTTAAGTAGTTTTAGGTTCAAAGAAAAGTGGAACAGAAGGCAAAGAGATTTCTCTACCTACCTCCTGCCTCTACAAACCACAATTTTTAAGAATTTATAATTAATATACACACATTCAAAAAACAGACTGAAAGATGATAATGCAAATCATTAACAGTTTTTACTTTAAAGTGGCAAAAAGTTTCTAAGTTTCTGCAGTAGGAGTATATCAGTTGTGTAATACAGGAGATAGCAAGAGTGAACAGTGACATTTTAGGAATCAGTGAACTAAAATGGACTGGAATGGGCAAATTTAATTCAAATGACAATTATATCTACTACTGTGGGCAAGAATCCCTTAGAATAAATGGAGTAGCCCTCACTGTCAACAAAAGAGTTCGAAACGGAGTACTTGGGTGCAATGTCAAAAATGACAGAATGATCTGTTCGTTTCCAAGGCTAACCATTCAATATCACAGTAATCCAAGTCTATGCCCCAACCAGTAATGCTGAAGAAGCTTAAGTTGAAAGGTTCTATGAAGACCTATAAGACCTTCTAGGACTAACACCTAAAAAAGATGTCGTTTTCATCATAGGGGACTGAAATGCAAAAGTAGGAAGTCAAGAGATACGTGGAGTAACAGGGAAATTTAGCCTTGGAGTACAAAATGAAGCAGGGCAAAGGCAAACAGAGTTTTTGCCAAGAGAATGCACTGGTCATAGCAAACACCCTCTTCCAACAATACAAGAGAAGACTCTACATGTGGACAACACCAGGCGGTCAATACTGAAATCAGATTGATTATATTCTCTGCAGCTAAAGAGGGAGAAGCTCTATACTGTCAGCAAAAACAAGACTGGGAGGGGACTGTGGCTCAGCTCATGAACTCCTTATTTCCAAATTCAGACTTAAATTGAAGAAAGTAGGGAAAACCACAAGACCATTCAGGTATGACTAAATCAAAATCCTTACAATTATACATTGGAAGTGACAAACAGATTCAAGGGATTAGATCTGATAGACACAGTGCCTGAAGAACTATGGACGGAGGTTCGTGACACTGTACAGGAGACAGTGATCAAGACCATCCCCAAGAAAAGGAAATACAAAAAGGCAATATGGTTGTCTGAGGAGGCCTTACAAATGGCTGACAAGAGAAGCAAAAGGCAAAGGAGAAAAGGAAAGATATTCCCATTTGAATGCAGAGTTCCAAAGAAGAGCAAGGAGAGATAAGAAAGCCTTCCTCAGTGATCAATGCGAAGAAATCGAGGAAAACAATAGAATGGGAAAGACTAGAGATCTCTTCAAGAAAATTAGAGATACCAAGGGAATATTTCATGCAAAGATGGACACAATAAAGGACAGAGATGGTATGGACCTAACAGAAACAGAAGATGTTAAGAAGAGGTGGCATGAATACACAGTAAAACTATAAAAAAAAAAAATCTTCATGACCCAGATAAGCACGATGCTGTGATCACTAACCTAGAGCCAGACATCCTGGAAT